AAAGTATTTAAAATACTTGCAGCAATAGCTAGGCCACTATGTGGCCATTCAAGCCTATTAAAACTTAAAATTCTTTTATTCAAAATACTTGCAACTTTAGAATTAAGATTTGCTAACAAAGAAATTAAATTTTGTTTATATGAATAAAAAATTTTTAAAGCATCAGTTCTTATAGTATTCCTATAAACTTTTTTATATTGTGGGTTTATAGAACTACGCAATCATTTTTCTAGCTTTGGATCTTCAGCTAACATAAATCATTGCTCTGCATGTACAATATACTTAGCAAGTTCTTGTCTCATTTTTTCTTGTGAATATTTAAAAGTACCAAAACTAGTCCCCCTCCCAATTTGTGTTTGGGTTGTTTCTCTCCCTTCATCTTCCTCGCGCTCATGTGTGAGCAGATATCTGCTCAAATGACCCGTACCACCTTTGCTATAATAACTAAAGTCTTTTCTACATTTTTGGCAAACGGCCATTTTCCTCTTCCCCTCAATATCCTCTACTTTGAAAACTTCCCAAACCGGGCTACTTAGCTTAGAAGCCCTCCTTTTTCCACTAGTATCACTACTACCAGGGGTTAAAGTTCCACTTCCATCGAGATCAAACGCATTGGCATTAGTGTTAACACTAATACTATCGTGATGCGATTGAATGTCATCCATGGTGAACATGTTGAGGAATTGGTTTTGAGAAGGGCCGACCATTTTTTTTAATTCTAAAAAGATAAAAATTAATCTAATTCGACTTACCTGGATTGTCGGTTCAAAATCCCAACTTAATTTCCACGGTTGAAGCCTTTCAATGTCCAAGCCTCCCAAATTGAGATACTTGAGCTGGTTGAGCAAGCCTTCTTATTGTTGAAAGTCGAAACTTCAATAAAGTTGAGACTTGAGAATTGGAGAATGCAGAATCAGACAATCAGTTAATCAGAATTTCTCATATTGCAGATAATTGAGAATGTATGAGAGAGAGAGAGAGAGAGAATTAAGATAATTGTTGAATTGGTGTGATGAGAATGGTGGAGAATATGGTTATTTATAGGAATTGAACATAATTCAATTGCCCAAAACACCCAAAAAACTATCTATTATTTAGATGTTGGAAGGGGTATTTTGATCATTGTAAAGTTACTTATAACTTTACCCAAAATGCCCCCCTAAACTAGTTGTTATATAGCTGTTGGTGGGCATTTATGCTTTTTTTCAGCCCCCAATAAGCAAAATACAGAAATACCCCCTAATATGGTTGTTTATAGYTGTTGGGGGGGGGTATTTCTGTAAACCCCCCCAAAAGGTAAAACTAGCCGTTGGGCCCCTTTGGGAGGGGGACCCAACGGCTATATTCCCAAGCGGGCCAAACGCAGCCCGTGCTGGGCCTGGCGGGCCATGCTGTGTCGTGCCGCAGGCTGGGCCCTACCAGCATGCGGCCTCAAACCCCCGACCCAACATGACACAAACCTCCGTGTCGGGCCTGGCATGGCCCGTTAGCCATTGTGTTGGGCCGATCCAAAATCATCGGGTGGCCTGGCCCAATTTACACCTCTAACCTTCCCATATGAGAGTTTAACCATCAGAAATCCATACAGAAGATATTTATTATATCCCCCTTAACACGTATAAACATATCCAGCGAAATGGGAGGAGAAATATCCCTCATTGACTCTAATGTCCAACTCTAGTAATATTTGCTTGCCATCACTTCAAAAACTTACTTGAACAAAAATGTATTCAAACATTGATGCAGACACTAAAACTGAAACTGAAGTGTATCATTACTTTTCAAAGAGGAAAAAAAAAATCTTCATAATCCTAAAGTCCACTATTTACAAATTTAAATTGAGATTATACAAAAAGCAAATGGTCATCACCATATGCCAAAATCATAAACTTTTCCAATAAGACCACTGACGATTAGGGGGGCATCAAAGAACTTTTGTACTAGGCTGCAAAGAGCGGCAAGGATTAATTCTGGAAGATTAAAATCACTGCATCTCTAACCTCATATATTTTCACCACTTCATTCTGCCTTCAGCATTTTCACTTGCTATAGTGAAGTTATTGATGACTTGTGGGCAATATCATAAACAGAAATAAGAATCTCAGCACCAATCAATATAATGATAAGCCACTCCAGAAAATCTGATTTCCTATTTTGTAGAATCTCTTGTAGAAAGCGAATATTATGCTGCAGAGAAAGAGCAAAAAATTCTTTTTCTGATGAGCATATGTCACAATTTTCAGTGAAACAAACTAATTTACCAAAGCAGTACGCAACTACGCACAACGTTATTGTCAAATTAGATCAACAAACAAAACAAAAGAGAGGGCCAGATGGGTAAAACCACAGCCATTATATTACCTCCACAAACTTCAACTTGAAATCAAGGCTTGCAAATCTCTGAGTCAATTCAAATTCATCCCGAAGATATTCCCATATCTGAGCATACTTTGCATCTTTCCAAGCAATATCTGATCTGGAAATACCAGAAAATGTTGTGAACATGTTACAGGTTATATAAACTAATGAACAATCAAAAAGTTTTATAGTGCGGATTGTGGACACATGAAAGTGTACCACCCTCTATGCCCAAAGTAGTATTAAGCCTACTAGTACTAAGATCATTTAAAACCAGGGTCCAATCCATCCATAAGCTACTAATATCTGAACAAAGCTGCAGAAAAGGGATAGCTTAAGTAAACTAATTTGAAACAGGACAATTTGTTTTTTAATAGATTGAAACAGCACAAAGTTTGAATAGCAAAACTATATTAATATCATACTGGCTTAGACCAATGTTGAATTAGCCTTTTTGACATCAATAAATATGTAGATAAAGGTTTTGAGGAAAGGGTATCCTAAACATGAGATTCCAAAACTAAAACATTGGTTGTTGTTGGCAGAACCACGTCATACCAACTTCCTCAAATAGCAAATATATTCCAATGGGAAATGGATAGTCATATCCAAGTCCATGCTGTATCCATATCTGGGCATCATAGAACTAAAATACTTTTGGGAGAGTTAAGTCTTGTATGTATGGATTAATATAAGTTACAAGGCAGTTGTACATATAAGTTTCTGTTACTCATCAGGAAAAAAAACAGAGACCTGAAGACAGAAGGAACTAAAAGAAAAGAACGGCATAATGAAAATAACAACAAATTGACGTTTAAGATATCATTTTGGGACTAGACCCTCACTGAGGATCCCCATGAGGGGGAGGAATCTGAAAATGAGAAGTCACAGCAAAAGCAAAGGTTTGACGTCCCCATAATCTGAAGATGGGATCCAAAATTAATGAGATTCTTTTATGAATAAAATTGATGAGATATCAATCATAGGTAAGATAGTTGTAATAGAGAAGTTTTTTTTAAGGTAAGGTAAAATTGTATTAATATAGTCAAAAGGAAGTATACATGTGTGTTAGTTAACAGTACAAAAAGATTCTGTACATATGAACACAATTAAGAAACCCCAAAAAAGTCAACATTCAAAAAAGAAGATAGATAATCATCCTTAAAGTGCAGATTAATCTCAGCTATGCTCTTTTGCTTCCGATGATCTGATTTATCAGCATCTCTTCTTGATTTTGTTTTTTATCAAAGATCCTGATATTCCTTTCACCCCAAACAGCCCAAATTACAGCCAAAGGAATAGCCACCCATAATATCAACCTTTAGAGAATTGGAAGAAAAAAAGACGAATTCAGTCTGACATGGCATCTAAAATTGCATCAGCTAAGGTTCTCCAGATCCTTAATGGACATTGCCAACTAGGAGAAAGGGCCAGAAAAAAGAAAAACAGAGGTGTGGCAAAATGTACAAGGCAGAAAAAGAGGAGACAGAGCAAAATGATGAGAATCTAAGGTGTTGGTTTGTTGTTGGGGTCCTTGCTGAAAGGTTACACATCCTCCCAGGTCTAGTTGCTTTGTAGGAACAGGATGTCAAGTTGCAGGGTGGGCTTCTTTTTTCGGACTCTCTATATGTTCTTTCTAAGTTGCTTGCCCTGTATGTATTGTGTATACCATTTCCCTTTATTGCTTTAATATATTTTTTTATTTCTTATTAAAAAACTCTAAAAAGGAAATAAGATGGGCCTTCAAGGAGACAAGGTGAGGTCGCCTAGTCACCTTGGCAATGGAATTTTTTGAATAAAAGGTAAGAGTCCTAGGGTAATTCCCTAGGTTCCATAGCAAGCAGCAACCATCTTTCGCTATTAATTGTCTATAATCTTCATAAAAAATGTATAAATAAACTAGTATTTTAATGCTTACCATTTCAGGTTTTGAAGTCTTTGAGGGTTCAAGACAGCATGCATGTTGATTGAACCCTAACAAATAAGAAAATAATAAAAAGAAACTAGTATTTTAACTCACAAACTGAATAATTTAGTTTAATAATGTATTTTTATTATTATAATCTCAAAAGTTAAGAACATAAAAGTATCCAAGAGCACCATGTAAAAAATATCTTGGCAATTAAGCGAGGTGACCCTCCAGGAGCACCTTATCGCCTAGGCATCACCTTGACAACTATGATGGACCTTGTAGCTTTAAGAACTAAGGCTCTATCATTAATACCAAGTTAGGAAAAAAACTCAGAAAAAAATAGATGTGAGCAAAAAGAATGTCAAAAACGACTTTCCTATATCAAATTAAAAAATTTAAAAAAAAAAAAACTACCAGAAAAGTGCTTCTCCCAAAGGTATAAACTGTATAGTGGTGTGTTGAAACAGAAAACAATAACAATTGATCTAGGTTCTAAAAGTCATAGCAGTTTACAGATTAAGGGCTTACAGCTTTTTATCTCTTTGTAGATCTTTTGACAGGGACATTTTGTTCATAGATTAAGGGCTTACAAGTCTTTTATTGAATTGTGTCAGTTTTTTATCAATCTTTTATTGTATAGTCTCAGTTTACAGTCCCTTGGTGTATTTGGGCTTATTTGTGTTTATTCTGCAATACAATACTTCACATTTTCAAAAAGAAAAATAAACGCCATAGCATCTTAAAGGAATGAAAATCATAAAGGTACCTATTATATCCACCAAAAAGGGATACACCGTTCTAAATAAAATATTTATAATGGCCCAAAATGGAATAAGAAAAGGCACCAATTGGCAATGCCAAGAATAGTTTCACTTTTCTATCTTATAGAAGTCTCAACCATTGTGCAATATTTATGAAGAAGCCACATCAAAAAAAGAGAATGCAAATATATTTAAAAAAAAAAATGTTGTCATAGAGCTATCTCAAATGCAGTGTTGGATGGACTCTCTTAAAGGGAAGGAGTTCTGTGCCAGACATATGTCAGAATTTGATGCTCCATGGATTCTTGGATTCTTGAGGACACTTTTATGCAACATTTCCTTTTTACCACGCAACTTATTTGGCATAAATGAACAGCTAATATACAAGATGAATGTCATTTTTCATATCAAACGTTACTTAGTAACAATGGCAATATTTTATTTGCAGGATGTTGGAATTCAAAACATATGAACTAATTTAACAGTATATACTTTTCAACAGACATGTCTGCTGGTCCATGTTTTCCCATCTTTCCAAGTCAGATTATAGGACATGTTGGATTCTGACTCCAATGTCCATCTCCATGCAACATTGCTCAAATGAAGATGAAAAAAAAATGGAAGATGACCATGACCACTTTGATACAATGAGCAACAGCCTACAGCTTAACCATTTTACTTTTTTGAGAAAAAGTATATTTTATTAATTGTATAAAATGGATGGCTTTACATGGGGTGAAGAATCCCCAAGAGAACTTTAAGAAGGCTAGGTTAAAAGGAGGGCATCAGTTGAGAAATTGTATGCCTTCGCCCAAGAGGAAAATTTTTGCTAACATGCTGTGTATGATTTCATTTAAATGAAAGTATTTGCCTTCAAAAATCCTGCTGTTCCTCTCCATCCAAATAGTCCAAAGCACAGCTGCAGGTAGCATATTCCAAATAATTCTGCCATTACTAGAGAGACCTTCAATGCACCAAATAATACAGCTTAACCATATAATAAGTTTGGCTTCAAATTGTTTATTGAAAATATTAAATAATTGATATGGCATTAAACAAAATGGAATGGTGAAACAGGACTCATGTAGCCAACGCCACACAGTTAGGATAAGGCTTAGATGATGATGGTGGTGGTGGTAGTAGTGGTTTTTCATGAACTGTGTCATTGTATCAGTGGTTGCATCACATTTACCTTTCAAAAAGCCCAAGTTTAAGAATCACATCAGCTAGATTAGAGTTTGCCTTTCCAACAAGCTGGAAAAGTTTTTTCCTTTCCATGGTGAAGGTGCCAGTTTTCTCCATTCCACGATTTATGTCGGTAAATTCTGCAACCATTCCATCAACCTATAAAAGAAAGTAGAGTTTTACGCACACTGTTAATGCTCAAGGGCAAAGTATGCAATTTTGCAATTGAAAAAATTATACATCAATTGGAAAATACCTGGCGAACATAGTAATCAAGAGCAATACTTTGACCAAGGACACTACCAATGGTACGAATACCATCAATGTTCAAATACTGCAGCATTATGTAATCCAACCCACCTTGCATCCATGTGTTTAAAGTTGGTTTTTCTCTCACTTCATACTCTAGTGACAAGCACACACGCCCACAAACATTTAAATAAGATAACAGTAAGTTGAGATAAATCAAAAGTATCTTGATTAATTGAAAAGATAAGCAAAATTCTTTCCTTCTGCGAAGTATTGAAATTCAAGCAAGGATGAAGAACACATATCTAGCAATATATGGCAACACATGATGCAGCCAACCAGTTTATCTTTTCATTTTGATAGGTAATCACCAAATTTACCCAGGTATTCAAAATAACCTTACTTCGTGCATATGTTTGTACATGTATACATATGTGTAGCTGATACCATCGGTTAGAAACTTGGAATTAACTGACCTGATGAACAAATTTCAACTTGACCAACCACTCTCACCAGTTAGACTTTCAGCCCAGTTTTTTAATCACTTGTGTTATTCCTATGGTTATCTAGTATACCTTCTTACTATATGATTGTAATTCATGGATTGGCTAGTGAATCCAAGTACCACAGTTCAATTGAGCATAAATTTGTTCACTTTATCACATTGAGTCACCAAGTTTAGGTTGTTAATTTTCAAAATTTACAAGGTTCTCCTTTTTTAATGGTAATCAAATCTTTACTAATGTACAAAAAAGAACATTTTATGGTACAGGTGCTATTGCTAAGCAGTTCTTTTAAGGTATAGTCTAGTCCTGGCTACCTAAACAGTTAAACCCATTAATAACCATATTCATCTTACATGAAACCATCATGGGGGATGTATGGGATGACTCACGATACAACACTTTTCTATTTGTGTGTAAACTCAATCTTGGAAAAACCTATAGCCATGTTGTTTGGAAATTTCTGGTGTGGGTTATAGGAAGAATGGGCCTTAGGCATCACTGGATTAGATAGATAATAGAGATGCTTGACAACAGTCCATTTCTCAGTCTTTAAGGCGTTAAGAGGTATCAACCAGGGGATCTTCTCTTCCCAATCTTATTTATTCAGGTTACTGTTCTTAACAGGCTTGTAAGAAGAGTGATAATAGAGAATTTCTCAGGTGATTCAGACTTCAGAGTTGGCAGAGAAAGGAAGGTGGTCCCTCATTTCCAGTTTGCAGATGTTATGATTATCCTAAGTGAGATTCAGAATGAATACAATATTAGGACTGAAAATCATTTTACAGGCAGTGGAGAAGGTCTCAAGTCTTAGGGCCCGTTTGCTTTTTGGATTTTGAGAGGGGAAGTTGGTCAATGTGATTTTGGTCGGAAAATTCATTTTCCCTGGTTATCACTTACCCAGGTAAGTGATACCCATCTCCCAGGTGGGAAAGTAACTTTCCCACCTAGGGGAAAGTTGCCAACAGTAGGATGGGACAAAAATGCCCCTTTTAATAATGGATTTTTATGGATAAAACGGTCGTTGTTTTATTTACCTGGGAAATAAAATAACATGGGTAAATGCAACATAGTTGTCAAGGCAACGCCTAGGCGACAAGGCGCCCTTGGAGGCTCGCCTCGCCCAGTCACCAAGCAGTTTTCTATACTGTGTAATAAAATACTTTTATACTGTTATTTTTTGAGATTATAATTATAAAATAGACATTATTAAACAAAAATATTCATTTTTGTGTTTATAAAATAATTTCTTTTTATTATTTTCTTATTTGTTGGGGTTTAATCAACACAAACATTGCTAACTGCTGTATTGAACCCTCAAAGACTTCAAAATCTGAACCAATAAGGGAAGAACTTAAATAGGGTTCAGCCCCTATATTTTTTGAATTTTCTTTTCTTTCTTTTTTTTTCTTCTCATAAATATGTTGCTTTTCTAGACTTAAACATGAAGTTTATAATTTTCTTTTGAAAATTATGGATATTTATTAAAGAAAGAAGGCTATGGAACCTAGGGAACTACCCTAGGATATGTGGTTTTTATTTAAAAAAATCCATCACCTAGGCAACACCTAGGTCACTAGGCAACAAGGCACCCCCCCTGTCGCCTAGCCTCACCTTGGCACCTTGAAAACTATGAAATGCAATTACCCAGGTAAGTAGCTTCCCAAAAACGAACGGGACCTTAAAGGTAACTGAGTAGGATTGTGAGAGAGTAAAATAGCCTAGAGAAAGCAAATATGGATTGTGAGAGAGAAAAGTAGCCTCCAAAGAGTTCCCCTTGAGTGGCAACCCTAGAATAGTTTCTTTTAGGAACAATGTGGTAAATCAACGAGATTGGTAGCATGGAATACACATCTTTGGGTTGAACAATAGCTTTTCTTAAATCCATCTTTGCAAGCCTTCCCTTCTACTTTCCTTAAAAGTTTTCAAAGCCTATGAGTGTTGTTAAAAAGAATAAAGAAAGCCATGAAGGACTTTCTTTGGGAGCTGAGGGAGAATAAAAAGGACTCTGAACTAGGAAAAAAACGATGTGCCTTAAAAAGGTACATAGATATTCAGATGTAGAGAGAAGAAGAGACAAAAAAGCGTGACCGTCTTAATTAAATGGCTCTGGATGTTTTCTACTGAGATCAATTCCCTTCACCATTCAGGTCATCAGAAGCAAATATGGACAGCACCAAAATTGCTGGGAATTTGGACCTTCTAGAAGAATAACTCACAAGTGCCTAGAGAAAGTAACTTAGTCTATTTACCTGTTATTTTTGAGATTCATCAAGTATGAGGTTGTGCCAGGCCATATGGTTAAACTTTGGCAGGAAATTTGAATGGGTCATGTGTTTTCTGTCCTTGATTTTCTAGACATTTGTCACATCTTCCACATTGCGAGCATGGATAAGAGAGATTTTGAATGTGAGGAAGCCATCAATATTCCCTAAATGTAGTTTCCCATTGAGAGCATGGATAAAAGGATCTGAACTTATGATTCTTTAGGGTTGTTTTCAAGGTCTTATTTCTTCAAAGCCCTTGATGAATGATGGATCACATTTGGCTTTCCCTCCCTTCCCGGCCTAGGCGATTTGGGTTGAACCCCCCCCCCCCCAATATATATATATATATATATATATATATAGTAAAAGTTATCAAGAAATATCCTTGAAGATAATCAACAGTGGAGAGACGATCCAGAATAGATGGACAGTGGAGTTATTCTTTCACTACAAAGGTATGGAACCACTTTTTCCCTCTATTTGAATGCCTTGGAATGCTCCTTCAAAATAGTGGAGTTGTTTTCCAACTGATTAATGCCTCATAATACTATTTGGGAAAAGATCCTTTGGCATTGTGTAAGGGCAATGATATTATGGAGAGTGTGGTGCAAACAAAATGCTAGGATTTTCTTAAGAACAAATTTCAGGACCCCAAACCACAGGAGGAGGTAGCTATATGGTATGGGTGGCACATTAGGCTATGAGTTCCAAGCAATCTCAATGAGCTCTATTCTAAGCAGGATTATCTCATCCAAAAATGAACATAAACCGACCACAGGAGGAGGCACCAGAAGAGGAGAAGCTTAAACTAAACTTTGCTGGAAGCTCTCTAGGCAACCTGGGACTGTCAAAAGCATGAGCAGAAATTTTCAGAAACCATGAAGAAAGCACTGTGATGAGCTATAGCTTTTCCGGTGCCAGCTTAAGTAGGAAACTCTTTGAGAGCAGACTTCTAGCACTTCTCCAAGGCACAGATGGCAAGATGTAGAGGTTTTGAAGTGGAAGGTGACTGCAACTCTGCAAGGTAGCACTCACCTGGTTCCAATCAGAGTCTGAGGGGTAATGACTCCTAAGATTTACGACAAGAGAAGTTAAAAATATCTTTACATTTTTTTATCAGTGTTAAAATATCTTTACATCTCATTTTAACTGTTTCATCAGGTGGATCCCTAGGTCTGCAAAAAGTGTGGCTGATGTATTTGGCAAGGGAAGATGCTAACAGAAACCTGTTAGAATGGGAGCAACCAGGCCTAACGATCAATATTTAACAAATTTTTTATTACCTTTCAGTCATTAGGGTCAGTTTCAACTGTCCTTGTAGTTTTATCAATTTATCCTACATTCTTGAGAAATTGAGAATGTAGGTATTTGTACAGATTTAGAGAAATGGCAACTTCAAGGGAAGTTTGTCTCCCATACATTGCTTTAGAGAAGCTCTGAAACTCCATGTGCCATGTGGCTCTATATTCAGCTTCTACACTTGACCTTGCCACAACTGTCTATTTCTTACTTTTCCACAAGACTAGATTACCCCCAACAAAAGTGCAAACTCCTGATGTATATCTCCTGTCATCAAGGCATCCTGCCCAATCAGCATCTGTATAAGCTTCTAGCTTCAACTGTCCATGGTCAGCAAATAGTATGCCTCAGCCTAGGTGTCCCTTCAGATAAGCAAGAATCTTGTCAACAACCTCCCAATGCTGGACTCGTGGGGCATGCAAGTATTGACTCACCACACTCACTGCATAGGAGATGTCTGGTCTTGTCATACATAAATATAGCAGTCGCCCCACAAGTCTCTGATATCTCCCAATGTCCTTTACCAACTCACCTTCTGATGCATTAATTCTGTGATTCTGATCAATAGGAGTATTGGCAGACTTTGTTCCAAGTTTCCTTGTTTCTTGTAAAAGGTCCAAAACATAATTCCTCTGAGAAGTAAAAATTCCATGCTTTGATCTTGCAACCTCAATGCCCAAGAAATACCTCAGCTCCCCAAGATACTTAATTTCAAATTCTCTGTATAGATTCTTCTTCAAACTGTCAATCTCACTCAGGACATTTCCTATAACTACAATATCATCCACATAAACAATCAGAACTGACACCAGGGACCCCCTTCGCTTCACAAAGTATGGTCTGATTGAGTCTGAGTGTAGCCAAAAGCAATCAAGACCTTCCTAAACCTGTCAAACCATGCTCTGGGAGACTGTTTTAAACCATAAAGTGACTTCTTCAATTTTCATACCTTCCCCCTTTCAGCATCACTATAGAAACCATCAAGAATATCCATATACACTTCTTACAAATCCCCATTCAGAAAGGCATTTTTTACATCAAGTTGGAAAAGGGGCCAAGAGTATGTAGCAGCAAGAGAAAGAAGGAT